AACAACACTTAGCCACAGTAATTTTTAATGTGTGGCATAGTGCTCCATAAAATACTTCAGGTAGTTTGGGGAGGACAGGATTTTTTTGGTTTGGTTTCGTTTTTTATTTCTGCATTTGAACCATTTATAATACCACTTCTGTGTATAAGGAATCTTCAATGAAAAGAATCTTTTTAAGGCAGCTCAGCTTTTCTACTGTGTTGTCCTCCTCAGAGGAAGGAAGAATTCCACATTTCTAGGCAAGAACTCAAGACTTCTAGGGAAGAGTGGAAGGATATTGTAAAACTAAATTTCCTGGTAATGTGGTGTGGTGGTTGGGCAAGCACTCGAGTGTGTATTTGTGACTGATGCTCACAAGGAAGAGGACTGAAAATTGGTTGCATTCTCTTCCAGGGAACTGGCACAGTGATAATGTGGGGGTGATTAGATGGGGCACAGGTGTTAATGAATAATACTCTGGTTTAAAAGAATGGGAATTGCTTATTAAACATGTAGCTTAAAACTGAATACACCTACACCAATGTGTAGCAAGCTTGTAAAATTTGATTTTGCTTTGCAGCCAGATATGAAGTGAGATTACAAATACTCACTCTTACAGTAGAGAAAGTTCTTTAATGGATTGTGGAAGGAAGAGAGTATGGGGGAAGGCTGAGGTTTAGCCATATGTCAGTATTTGAAGAAAGGAGAAAAGCAGTGTATGGGGGGGGATCTTTATAAAGATAGCTGTGCTCTTTAGTTGGACTATTTTATAATTTCATCCTGAGTTTGAATGAAATTTTTCCTCAGGCTGGATATTGGTAATTCTGTGAAACAGAACAGTTGGCAGAATGTTGCACAGGGGCAATGGCCCGTGCTGCCTTCAGTGACTCTGCCTTGCAGGCTCCCATTTTTGTTAGGCAAAAAATGTGGAGGTGGTGATCAGCTTTTGATGTGGGTATGCAAAAGGGAAAGGATGCTTCCTGAGCTGTCTGTTGCCAGTTACCCACACCTGTGCTCATCTAAGTATCTGAGTCTCACACAGAAGTTCAGGTGTGGCTGAATTTGCTTCCTTTGGGCAAGCCTCAGTAATGAACTCTGACTTAACACCTGCCTTGTGCTAGGAACTAAAGCACCCTCCTGAGTCCTGGTAATTGAAGTGCTGAGCTGCTTGTAACAGGCTGGATTTCAGAATCTGAGTTGCGTGAATTTTTCATTTCCTTCCCTTGCTTTTCAAAAGAAAGAACATCTAGACAAGTAATGAGCATCCCACCTCTGCCCTCTGGTTGGAAACAGGCAGATGCGAATCATAACGCTCTCAGTATGACCCAAAACTGATCTAAGTCTTGCTCTGTGACCTGCTGTAGCTGGTTGGCCATCTCTTGCTGTGATGAGCAGTTTCCCCGTGGGCACTGCTGGGTGTGACCGTGTCCTGTGTTGCAGGGAGCTGAAGAAGGCCCAGCTGGCGAAGGCCGCGGCCGAGGAGCGCGCGCTGTTCACGGACAGGATGACGACGCGCTCCACGACGCAGAGCCGCCCGTCGCGGCTCATTGGGAAGAAGATGAACCGCTCCCTGAGCCTCACCATCTACTGACCACGGCTTCCCTGCCACACCCTGCCTAAGGAATTGAAGGAAGCCTTCAGTTCCTGTTTCCTGTCCTGTAGTCAGTATCACCAGTTTTACAGCTATTGCTTCTGGTTTTTACGTGTACTCCATGGCTGGTTCTGTATTAACCTTTTGGGTTGATGGACTCGGTTACTCTCCGGTCTGTAGAGGATCCTGGATGTTATTCCATAAGCCTTTCGGTTACACTGTTAGATGTTATCTTGTCCCAGGGTTAACCACTATAGTGGTGTGCTGCTTTGTAGTGTTACAGCATTGTAAGAAGAAGCAATATCCCTAATCTTTTAAGAAGGAGGGGAGGGGGCCTTACTTTGATAGTTAATTTTTTTTTTTGGAGCAGAGGGGGAATAAATTTTAAAAGACAGGCTTTAAGGCCACCTACAGTCAATGTACCTGATGTCAGGTACTTTTGTTGTGAATTTTTTTGTGTATTCAACTGGGAGCACTTTGTAGGCATTGCATAAACCACAGCTTAGGAACCTGTGGAATTAAGTGCCATGTGGAACTGCTGCTATTTTTAGTTCAATGTCCTTGCTGTAAACTGTAGCATTAAAACAATCATTATTGTGTTAACAGGCTTCTTGTTAAAGCAATTAAGTGAAACAAATGTAAGCTGCATTTTAGTGAAGGCAGCATTTTTCTCTCAAAGCTAGTGCATTGTGAAAAAATGCACCAATTTAATATTTGGACTCTGTATTAGTGTAGTGCAATTGTTAATGTCTTTGCTATTCATGTTTTGTTCTACTTTCTAATAAGGTTCTCTGAATGTTCATATTTTCTTCAGTTGCCCATTCTTGAGGCTCTTGTATGTTTGTTTTTTTATGTTGGATTACTTGTAAATAGTTGTTTACTGTGTTCAGGTTGTTTTTCATTGTTTATGTACATAAGTTTGATCATGCTTATAGTGTACTATACAGTAACTGCAGTCTGGGATGCCAGCAGACACAACTTAACTATTCAGTTTGAAGTTCCAATATGTGGAACAGAATGTGGCCATGGAACCAGTGCTGATATTGAACCTAGGCTGACAGAAGAACTGTTCTGATTACTGGCTTGTCTCTTCATTCATTTTACTTAAAACAATGTTTCCCTTTTGTGCTCTATTTGTTCTTACTAGTGTTGAATTTGAATATTAAAGTTAAAAGTTCTGTTTGTTTAATATTGTGTAACACTTATTTAACTTTGTAGTTACAGGAATAAAATACTGAGTTGGGAATACCCTATGGCAAGTCCTGATGAGATCCGCTTCCCACTCATGCCTAATGCTTGTGATTCCCTCTCCTGAGAGTGGGACTGAGGGAGATAAGAGACTTGCTGATAGTTAGGAGAGAAGGATCCTACTCCATGTGTTAGTGTCCACAGCAGTCTGTCTCTGCAGCCTCAGGAATGGGTTTGCATTGGGAAAGAGGAAACCCCTGGAAGAAGTGGAACTCATGACTGATGCTGCAGGAATAGAAACTATGGGAGAAAATAGTTGGGTCTGAGGTAAGGGAAAAAATGCAGGAACTACTGAGAATGGGAAGAGAGCTGCTGATTTAGAAGTTGGGAAGAAAACTGGGAGGAGTTGGAATATTTCAGGAACACAATAATGGCATGGCCTGTGGCATGCAGGTACATGTAAAGAGAGACATAGTAAACAAAGGTTTAATAATTAAGATCAGTCTATTGTGGAAGTTTTTGCCTTGTGTTAGAGCCACAGGTGACTCAGAGAAGCTGTGCCTGAATTCTGTGGACTCAAAATTCAGCTTTGCAATTAGCAGAAAATAACTAAGAGTTCTCAGTTCTAGTCGTATGACAGTGAAATTCAGAGTACTGGTTTAAGGTATATGAATACTGATAACTAAGAAATGTATATGCTGAAATACCTGCTTTAGGTTTTTGCTTTATAAGATAGCCCTGTCTTGTTTGTGAGAGAGTTTAAAAACATGGGTTTGTTGCAGTGTTTTAATGTTCATCTACCTTAAGTGAGACCTTTAAGCATACTTCTAAGCAGTCAGAAATACCAGGTGGTGCGTGGTCAGTGAACTTAAGCCTTTCTGTCTCTACAGTGTAAAGAAGTTGTTATACCTATTACAGTTCTGTGTACAGTTCTCATCCCCCATTTTTAGAGGCCTGTACCATCAGTAGAAGCATTGCTGTGCAAACAAGCTGTGCTGGGGGCTTGGAGAGCTGTGCTGGTGGCTGGGGAAAGAATGGCCTGGATTACTGGGCCCAGGGAGGTGGTGATGGAGCTGTATCCTGCAGGAGGCCAGTCACCAGTGCTGTTCCTCAGGGGTCAGAGTGGGGCCAGTCCTGTGTAATGTCTTTGTCAATGACCTGGGCGAGAGGACAGAAGGCTCCTTCAGTGTGACACCAAGGTGTGCAGGAGCGATGATCTGTTGGAGGGCAGAAAGGCTCTGCAGAGGGCTCTGGGTAGGCTGGATCAATGGGCTGAGGACACAGCTGCAGGAGGTCCAACAAGGCCAAGTGCCAGATCCTTCCCCTGGGCCACAACAACCCCAGGCAGTGCTGCAGGTGGGGAAGAAGTGGCTGGAAAAAGGCCAGGAAAAGGACCTGGGAGTGCTGCAACACAGGCTGAAGCCAAGTGGCCAAGGTGGCCAGTGGCATCCTGGCCTGGATCAGCAATAGTGAGTCTGGCGGGAGCAGGGCAGGGATTGTCCTCTGTGCTGGGCACTGGTGAGGCCACACCTCGAGTGCTGTGTCTGGACCCCTCACTGCAAGACAGACATTGAGGGATTGGAGAGAGTCCAGAGAGGGCAACAGAGCTGGGGAAGGGTCGGGAGAGGCCTGTGAAGAGCAGTTGAGAGAGCTGGGAGTTTTTAGCCTGGAGAAAAGGAGGATCTGGCGGGACCTTACCACTCTCTACAACTGCCTGAAGAGAGACAATAGCCACGTGGGTGTCGGCTTCTTTTCCCAAGTAACAAGAGATAGGACAAGAGGAAACAGCCTCAAGTTGTGCCAGGGAGGGTTTAGATGGGATATCAGGAGCCATTTCTTCACTGAAACAGTTGTCAAGCATTTGAACAGGCTGCCCAGGGAAGTGGTGGGTGGTGTCACCACCCCTGGGGTTATTTAAAAGCTGTGTGAATGTGGCACTTAGGGACATGGTTGAGTGGTGGACTCAGAAGAGCTGGGTTAACAGTTGGATTCCATGACCTTAAGGGTATTTTCCACCTAAAAAATTCTGTGGGTCTGTTCTAGGGCTGGTCACAGGTTTTGTGTGCCATTGAAGGGGTGCCCTGCTTAAACCATAGGACTGAAGTGACTTTAGATGTTTTAACTTTTCCCTGTGTGCCAAGGACAGTATTTAAAAAGGTGTTTCAGATTTCTAAAGTAGTTTATAGTAGGAATCACAGAATTTTATCTCGAGTTTTCATGAGCCTTTCTGATGCAGCTGGTGAGGCAGTGAATCCTGGCTGCATCAATGGCTAGTGGGAAGGAGCAGAGAATTTGGGAAGTGTGTGTTAATGCTTCCCATGAATATTCTCAGCATCCAGTGATTCATGATTCAGATGTTTACTCAGTAAGAAGTGGTATCTATTTTTACTGACATTGAAGGGGGTTTCTTTTTTTAATAGAAACAATCTTACAGAAATTTTTTTTGGCAGCTTACAAATTATTTCAAAAAAGAAGACTTGGGCCAAACTTATCTGTAGTTGAGCAGAACTTATCTGTAGTTGCCCTTTGCAGGTGGAAGGAGGAGCTTCTCACCTCTCACAAAAATGTAGAGTTGGGTATTAGCTGAGATTCAACCAAGCATGGTGTAACAGGATGAGCTTCAGCACTTGGAGAGGAAAGCTGCAGCTGAACTTAAGAAGCAAGCATTAGAGTTGGGTGGAAAATGTGTTCTTCAAAATAGCTACATTTAATGTTTAACCATATTTCTCCTGAATTCATCTGGCTGAAATTTCCCAAGCTTAACTTTTTTTCATCAGACTACAGGACTTCATGAAGAACTCAAAGTGAATGTAAAAATACTTGAAAGCAGGTATTTCATACCCCCACCTCCTCTAGATATTCGTCTGCTCCTCTGTCTTCTCCATCTTCTAATGATGCATTACTGGACAACACCACCTGCTTGGTCTTGCTCAGTCTTTCTACATCTTCTGGCCAAACAGTGGGTGGTGTGATGGACTAAAGCTCCTACAGACTCAGTTGCCTGTAACGACACAACACAGAAAAATTATTTTCAAGTATCAAGGACTGATTCACTGTTTGGATAATTCATCTTGCAATTCAAACCTTTCCATTGTCTGTAGAAATACTGATGGGCTTGCAGGCTAAACCATTGAATTGAATCATAAATGGTATACTTAAAAAATATTGAATCACAGCTGGTGTTCAAGTACTACATGAAATTCTGTTTATGCCATTATTATCAAAATACAATTGGAGGTCAAACATTTTTGTATTGTTTTTTGGTCTTCTTTTTTGTAACCCCTACACAGCAGTTGTCTAGGGGTTTTTTCTAGTTTTTATTGGATTCATTTTTCAGTTTCCAAGTATCCTGTTGCCCTATCAGCTGGAATAGATCTGAATTACTAAAATCTAGAACCTGAAATCTTACTGTCAAATCGGCTTATTTTGGAAGTCACAGACAAGTTTTCCCTCCACTTAGAAATGGAGTTAGGCACTGCTTGTATATTCCAAAGTAGGATTTCAATGTCACAACTTGCATTACTTTATAACACTGAAAAGTTTCATGAATAGAAGTATACTTAGGCACCTGTCCTTGCTGACCTGGGGCACGGGAGCACCATGTGTTTCACACCCTCCCAAAAGCTGGCCAGCTGGACCTTGCCTGAATGTGTTTTGTAGTCTCCAGCAACACCTGCTGGACAAAACTGTTAACTGTGCATTGAATTTTGTCTTTGAAGTGTCTGTGTGCTGGTATGACACTCAACCCTGATTGTTAGAAGGCATTGTCTTGTTCTGCAGCAGTGACTCAGCACTCTTGCCAGCAGTAGCTCAGGTAAGAGTGTTTTCATTTGTCCATCCCCATCCCCCTTTGGTTGTGTAGGCTTGGAAAGGGCACCCTCACCGTGTGTCTGTGTATGTGGTTTGGGGTGTGACGTGTGCAGGTGTTTAATAAACCCCTGTGTGTGCTGCCTGCAAACATCCCTGCTGTAACTGGGCTTGGGGAGCCGGGTCTAAACATGGCCAGTGGAGTCAGATCAGGGCTGAGCCCTGCTGAGCCCTCCCTTCCTCCAGTGAAGCCTGGATCCCTCGAGGGAGCTGCTGAGCCGAGTGAAGGCTCTCTGCTCCAGAAACACGGCAAGAGAAAGCAGGAGGAAACTGGGCAGGACAGCACTCAGGAAACAGCTTCTGTCTGAGAGCTGGAACTGGATGGAGAGTCTATCTTCCCAGAGTATAATGGGATTGGCTAGGGGAAAGGGAGGTGCCCCGAGGAGAGAATATTGCTGGGCCTAATTAAACAGGAAGCAATTTATTATTGTTTAACACGTCGCTCAGAGATCTGAGCTTGTACACGCCTAAAAATGAACTTGAGATTCTGGATAGTCTTGAAAAAGCTGAAGCATTGGCTTCAAAGATCTTCCTTTTGCCTGTCATTTAACTCCCTTACAATACACAATATGAGCATTTAGCATGACATCTGAATTATCATGCTGGTCTAAACTGATTTCTCTTTGAGTCAAGATGAAAGCAGACTAAGTGGCCTGACTCTGATTAATGACCTCCTGTGTATTCCTCAGATGCTGCCAGACAAGGGAGCTAATGGACATAAAACCTGATGCTGTTGCTGAATTTATACACAGGAAGATTCTACGTGTTCAGCCTGCATCCTGATGGAGATCTTGTTCATCTATTGATTTACAGACAGCAGAAAGCACCACTAATGAAAGTATTTTAGGCAAGGTGTTTCACAGGATAGGGATGGGGGGACAGGAGAAACACCTGCTATTCCCAACCTTTAGCAGTCTCACCAGCCTCAGGTGATGTTTCTGCCTCTGCAGCTCTTTCCTCTTGCCTCTTTTCATTCTCATCTACTTAGATTCAGGGCAGAGTCTCCCCATATATTTGATCCATACCTTAGCACATGGGATTTTAAACTCCTTCTGATCCTGTAGGAGTCCAGGCTGGATTGATGGGCCAAGGCCACTGTATGAGGTTCAACAAGGCGAAGTGACAGGTCCTGCTCTTGGGTCACAGCCACCCCGGGCAGCGCTGTGGGCAGAGTGGCTGAAAGCTGCTCAGGGGAACAGGAGCTGGGTGCTGGTCCACAGTGGCTGAACACAAGCCAGAGTGGGTCTAGGTGGCCAAGAAGGCCAAGGGCATCCTGCTTTGTGTCATAAACAGGTGGCCAGCAGAGCCAGGGCAGTGATTATCCCCTGTGCCGGGCACTGGTGAGGCCTCACTCCAGTGCTGTGTCCAGACCTGTGAGCAGCAGCTGAGGGAGCTGGGGGTGTTTAGCCTGGAGAAAAAGAGGCTCAGGGAGGACCTGGTTGTTCTCTGCAACTGCTGAAAAGGAGGCTGCATCCAGGTGGGGATCAGCCTCTTCCCCCAGGTAACAGCAACAGGACAACAGGAAACGACCTCAAGCTGCTCCAGGAGAGGTTTAGATGGGACATCAGCAAAAATTGCTTCACTGAAAAGGTTATTAGGCATTGGAACAGGCTGTCCAAGGAAGTGGTGGAAGCACCATCCCTGGAAGTCAAAAAATATGTGGATGTGGCACTGGGGGAAATGGTTTAGTGGTGAACATGGCAGTGCTGGGTTAACAAGAGTGCCCAATGATACTGGAGGTCTTTTCCAACATTGAAGATTCCTTGATTTTGACTGACTTTCTTCTACATTAACCCTGCTTAAATGGCTTTTTCCACTGGTTATTTCTCTTTCCAGTTTCCACCCCATAAGATGGGTACTGCAGCACACATGGGATTGAATCTCCTCTTCCTCTCTGCAGGTAAGGTGTCTGTGGTATTTTGTTCTCTGTGGTGAATCCTGTAACTTGGTGAGAAATACCTTATCAGCTGAAAGTGTAGAGTAAGAAGTGTGTTACCAGGGAGGAACTGAAAGGTAACCTGATGTTTTACCCCTACATTATGTTTGTTTTCTGAAGTTTAAATAAAAATGCATGTATTGGGCACATGTGTATAAATAGAAAACTATAGTGAAATAGGTATGCCTTGCTGTAATCTCTTTAAAGATGACTCTGAAAGTCTTGGAAGTGAATGGAAAATTCTTCCCTTTTTTTTTTTATTTTTCTAGGGGAGACTAAACTGGCATTCTGATTCAGCATCTAATGCTGCTTGCTGTTTCACCTAAAACTACTGAAGTGTTTTAAAATAACAGAAAAGACAAAATCCTCATATGGCTTGAGGATTGGGTCATGCTATTATGTCAAATATACTTACTGCTTTTTACACTCTCCCCCAATGTTTCCTTGAGATATTCTATGGCAGGAGTAGTCTATTCAGAAACTAACACATAGATAATAAACCCCAGCATTTGCCTCAGTTTTATTTTCTCCTGAAACATTGCTGTGAAGTGGCAGACATTGGAAACACAGTTTGCTGCAAAGTTGCCTTAACGGTCTTCAATTTCTGTTTGCTTCCATTTCGTTTTCCTGTGGAGAATGAAAATGACTGTTCTAGCCAAGGCTGGGAAGATTTTCCCTGGGCTAACAATGAGCAGGGAACTGAAGTGCCGGAATTCTTTCCTTGATGTCAGTTTAACTGACTCAGTGGCATAAAACAAAATTAGTAACGGTTCAAGTGCGTAATCTTTCCTCTGGTTAGAACTTCCCTGACAAATACTTATTATTTGGCTAACAAGGAGTAATTAAGTTTCTGCAAAGAGGACCAAGAGAAAAGTGATTGACCCCTCAAGGCTGAGCCTCAGCAGGGTCTAACTAAAGCTCCTTCCTGAATCTGTGAGTCACTCTGTGAGACCGAGCCAGTCTTCCCTCCCCTCAGTCATGTTTTTAACTGTGGTGAGGAAACAAAATTACAATAAGCACAGACTTTAAATGAAGTTGCTGAGCTCTCAGATAACTTTCAGGAAAAGCAGAAGTATGTGAAGTTGCATCAGAACTTGCTTTTGTACCAGGAAAGCAATTTAGAGTTTATGTAGTGCTATCAAGGGTTTCTTGGATAAGTGTGATTGCTGTTAATTAATGGTTAGTGGAGTACATGTCAATCTTATTTGCAAAGGTTCAGATTGTAAAGTCTTTGATAAGCAAAGATCCAGATTAGCATATCAAAATAGAAGGGTTCCTTAAAATAACTCGCACTTTGGGTGTGGATGCAGTTAGTCCTGTAACTTTGTTAAAGCTATTTTGGGTAAGCATAAAAAACAAAGGTTTCATTCCACAGTAAATTTGCCTGAATATAATCTTCACTTAAATTGTTTTTTCTCAGTTTGTTCAATCCCATAAAAACACTGAGGATTTAAATATGAGTATGGCTATATTAAATAATGTGCTAGGTTTATGCACAACTTCTAAGTATCCTCTTGATTAACCTACCAAGTGCTGGAGCAGCTGAGACTTTATAAACCACTCATTTTAATGAAACATTTAAGTATGGGCTGCTAACCTAGTGACCTGAATGGGACTATTTATATTCTGAGTGGAAAACAAATCCTGTTCTGGCAAAGGATTTTAGCATGTCATTTAAATCAGGAGTAACAGAAGCCAGCAAAAAGAATGAAGAGAAAATGAAAAGCAGCACACAGGGTTTTAGTGGGTTGTTTTCTGGAAGATTTTTGTTTGTTTGTTTGATTGGTTGGTTTTTTTTGTTGTTGGTTGGTTGGTTTTTAGATGTGTGGGTGTGGTGGGATTTCATTGTTTTTTACAATTTGTGAAGCATTTAGTTTGGATTTTGTTTTTCCACTCTATTGTTTTTTACCAAAAATTCAAACTGCCAAAAAATCACTGAACTCTGTTCAAAGCAGATATTAAGTCTCTGCCATTAGAAGATTAATGTGTGAACTACATTAATTGCTTTTCTTTAGTGACTTTTCACAGAATCTAACTATATTTTAATGCACTTTAGGAAGGGTCTTCTGTGTTTGCTGGTGACCTTGTGGGTGCTCAGCTAGCAACATATCTGCATGTATAAAAGTTGTCTCTTTCCTTCTAAAGTGGAATAGCTGTCTTCTAATTGGAGACATGCCAATGTATTTTATGATGGCAGATGTTTCTGGCAATAACAGCAACTGTAATGTTAGCAAATCAGATTCATTAGGGAATTTTATCAAAATAATTTTATATGTTAATCATGTAGTTCAGAGTATCCATCTTGAGGAAAGAGCATAAACAATTATTTGTGGATTCCAAAGTCCTGAATAAATTATGGAGCAAAAGGTTAGGAAAAAGCAGGGGAAAAAGGCTGATAGGATATGCTCAGTGAATAAGGCAGACTGTTTGGGAACTCACTGTGCTACTTGGAGACTATAACATCCCTAAAGAATAAAAATCTGTGGATGATTCTAGCCTCCATCACATACAGAAAACCAATCTTATGATTTATCACCTATGAGAATTAGAATGACTTCCTACAGTGGGCTTTGCTGTCTGCTCACCTGCCCTGCTCCTGTACCCAGAGGATCAGTGGTCCATGCAAGTCAGGCCTGTGACTTCCCAGCTTGTGCTGAGCTTGTGCTGAGCTGTGCTGTCTGTCCAGCCCAGCCTCCAGGCCCACAGGGGACAAATTTCCCTGGCTGATTGTCCCACAGGATTTTTTTGGGCAGGTCCTATGTGGTACCTGCAATGACAACCCCTGCATGCCCTGTGCTTTGTCTAAAAATGGCAGCAAAGGGTTCTGGTGTGAACATGTTTTATGTTGGCCATAGAAAAAATGTACACGGTTATCTCCTTGTACAAAAATGCTGTAATAGCCTGAATGACCAAAATGGTGTAAATTTTCCATGGGCAGGATCTGTGTGACGTGCTGCACACCTGGTTGATGCTGGGCAGCCCAGGGTTCCTGAAGGAATGTAAGGTTATCTACACTGTTCTCTCCATTAGAATGCTGGCTGCAATAAATGGTATTTTAAGTGACACTTCAGAATCTGAGTGCCTTTTTACTGGAATCACAATAAATCAGCACCACCTGGTACAAAAGAGTTGTCAAACTGTACTGCCAGAACACTTTGAGTGCTATTTTTGTTCCAATGATGTAATTGACTGAAGACTAAAATTGGGCAAAACCTATTTTTTCCCCCTGATGTTTATTATGTGTCTTGAGCTTGGGATCCTAATGGTTCTGTGTGAAATCCGTGAAAATAAAACCTTCAAGTGATCATGGGCTGTGATCTGTGAATGACAGTCCCAGTGTTCAGAGCAATGTATGTGGGTTACAGAGAGACAGAAAAGTGTGAATTTTTCTATCAATTGCAGGAAATAGTGCATGCAGGAGTCCTATTTCTCATCCTCTGCCAGTCAGCAAGTGTTAGAGAGTTTTGTACCTTCTAAGACCACGTCCATCATCCCTCACTTCTTCTCCCCCATTGTCCTTTTCTGCAAAATAAGCACACAGAGATGCCCTCAGTGCATGGCTCCTGTTTGGGCCTAGGGCTTCAGTGCATTTGGGGTTTGGATCCTGGCTGTGTTGCTGACATGATTTATGGTATTTGCTGTTCAGACTGAAATGCTGAAGGCATCCATCAAGAGGTACAAAGAGGCCATTCCATTTCTCTCCCCAAAGCCGGTCTGAAGAGGTATTTTTGGCTAAGTAGACCAACCAACACACCACTTAGCCAAAAAACAGGGACTCACACGTGGAAAAAAGACCACTGAGATCACAGCGCATTCATCATAAACAATAATTTTCTTTTCCTACAACATGCAGAAGAAATTATGCAGAAATTGATTTTGTTTTAATAATCTCTGTTGATGTTCCTTCACAGCTGCTGCCCTCACCAGTGCTTATTGCCAACCCACAGCATTAAAGAAGACTGAGCACAAAAAAACTACACCAAACACCCAACGACTCTCAAAACCACCTTCCAACAACACAATTCCTTCCTCTTGATCACATTTTGTCTGGGTTCTGCCCTGGAGGCAGTGGAGCAGGAGGTTTTTTAGCTCTCCCCCTGCATTGGGATTGCACTACACTCTCTCCACCTGTGTGCAGCCTTCCTTCCAAGCTGTTTTTGGGGCAGAAAAATTCCAAGAGGAAAGCTGCTCTCCTTACTTATCCTGCTGGGAACATTGGACCTGACACTTTCATAAACTCCATTCACAGACTCAGCTGTGTTCCTGTTCTTGAAAACTCACAATTTTCTAGGGGGGAATTATTTGGAAAGACAGAATAAGTCTGTCAGTATAAGGCTCACTAATATATTCACAACAGCCTGTATTACCACGTAGTGCTTATTTTGTCTATCCAGTACCACATCACAACGAAAAGTCTGTTTTATTTACTATCTCATCTGAGGTGAAAACCCTGAACAGCGTCTTCACTGTGCTGAAGAACACTAAAGCGACAAACGTCAATTTATCCACCCACGTTACAGCGAGCCATCAGAAACAAACTGAAAGGGACAAGATCGAGCACTTGTCCATTTAACCGTGTGCATTTCCTAATAAGAATAAAAGGCAGACCTGCGGCAGGAGAGGACGCCGGGCAGGCCGCAGAAGGACGCGCTGAGGGGCGGTGAGGGCGCGGCCCGGGCCCGCCGCGTTGCGCGGCCGCCGGGGCGGTGCCAGCGGGGCCGGGCCGGGGTGGGGCTCAAGGAGGAGCTGCTCAAGTCCATCTGGCACGCCTTCACCGCCCTCGACCTCGACCGCAGCGGGAAGGTCTCCAAGTCCCAGCTCAAGGCAAGCGGGGGGCGGCCAGCCCGGTGGGGTGCGAGGGGCCGGTCCGCGCCGAGCGCTGGCACCGCGGGCACGGGGCGCGGGCTGGGACCCGCCCGCGGCCCCCGGCTCTGGGGCACACGGGTGCTCGCTTTCGGGGCTCTCCCGGCGCTGTAAATCGCGTTCTCCCCAGCGTTCGTCCCTCGGCATCGCTGTCCCTGCGGGCCCCCGCCACCTCCGTCCCGCGGGGACCCGTCCTGGAGCCCGGGCAGGCTGATTTTCATTCCGCTCCGTCCTCCCCGAGATGTCAGCGCACAAACCCTTGTTGTGCTTCTGGTCCGCTTTCAACCACATGTCCTTGCTACCCTTTCTGGCCAAAATCTTTTGTGGGGTAGCCACAAGGTCCCATCTATAGGGCTTGGCTGCGTCCAAGTGAAATTCACAGCTTGCCAAGGGGAGAGAGAGGTTCCACAGTGCCCTCTTATTTGGATATAAACAGGAGAATTAGTCAAGAGGCTCCAACTGTGCCATTCTTTCCTTAGCTTATACGCTGAAGTAGTGTTTGTGCTCTTAAAAGAGCTCTCAGGCAGCTCGCTGAATCCAGTCCCGTCTTGGCCCTGCTTTATGGGACCGTCTTGGCCTGGGAATAATAGCAGGAATCTGGCTAAATAAATATTTTGAATAAGAACGCAACACCTGTTGACATTCGAGACTGTGGGCCCTTGTGCTGGGTGCTGGGGCTGCGTGGGCAGCAGCAATGGGCCGAGGTTTGTGCCTTTTGTGGGATTAACTCCACCAGCGACGGTGGCCGTGCTGTGGGCGCTGTTTCCAAGCGTGGCTGCTCGCTCGTGGACTTTATTTTTAGCATTATGTAATGAGGGTCCGGACCTGGCAGCGTGCTGCAAGCAGCCTGTTCCTCTTCTCCTTTTCTTCTGCTGGGGTGATGGGGCTGTGAGATAGGGCCGGGCTCGGCCAGAAGTGGCTGCGGGGCAGGATTCGGGCCAGACGCCAGACCTGGCTGTGAACTCGAGCTGAAAATGTGTGCATGTCCAGGGTTTTTCACAGGGGGTGTCAATGAAAGTGAGCCTTTGTCTTCCAGCCTTGCAGGACAAACTGAAACAGGTTGCAGAGAAGCTTTTTTAAAAAATCATCCTGCTTTTTATAGGAATCCTGTTTTCCTGTCATGCTGCCTACCGCACCTGGTGTGCTCCATGCACTCACCTGAGCATGTCTGCAGATGTCATCGTGCAGGCCAGTGCAGAACCTCACGTGGGGGTGAGGTGATACAATGGTCTCTTCGAGCCAGGTCTTATAAGCTCTCGGAGATCCCTATCACACTCGAGATAGCTCAGCTACTTCAGATAGTATAAAATCAGCAGGATGGCTTCTGTGGCAGTCTTGGAAACAGAAAAGTTTTAATAAAAGGCAAAATAACAAAGCTCTTTACAAATAATAATAACAAAGCTCAGAGAAAAACCGAGCTAAGTGTAAGAGGCTCGTGCTCCTGGTGAAACACCTCACAAAAGTGATTAGTTCCTTTGTTGTCTTCTTTTTCTAGTAAATTGCTTAGGCAGGACTTTTTGGCTTCTGTGTAATTGGCTATCCATAAGTTTGAGGTGAAGTCCCTAAGGTCCTATGAGGTGTCTTTTTACCTAATGGACGAGAGAAACTACTGAGGTTTTTTTTTCCTTTTTAAGGAGACAAAATATAATTTTGTCACTCCGTCAGCAAAGGGCGCATTCCTACACTCAGGTTCTGGGCTGAATGAAATGGCCGAAGAAGCTGCCAGTGTGCTGGTGGGCTGGTACAGTGCCATCAAAAAATGCAGGGTTTTGTGTGTTTGTGCAGTTCTGTGTGTGACAGAAAGGCTCCTGTGGGAAGCGTCAGGTTGAGGATCTGGCAGTGCAGAAACAAGTCTGAAATGAGGTTGCCACCTTCTCCTGTGGCCACCAAGAATTAGTTTTCAGGAGGGAGTAGAGGGTGTTCTTACATAGACTTTTTGTGGCAAATGCTGAATATGGTGTCAAACTGAATGGTCCTGCTGGGGAGAAAAGGTGTGCAGGGTGGCAGTAGCCCCACATGGTTAAAAAGGGCAGACAGGACAGCAAAAGAGAAGTTCCTGTATGACAGAGATAGGACTGTGTTGTCCTTAGAAGGTATTTCCCAATGAAGTGTTTCTCATCATCATGAGGAAGATACAGCACTCCTGTAAAATAGAGTGCTGATGATGCTTGGAGAGCAACAGGTTAGTAGAGATCTGTGACATTAGAAAAATATGCTTAATAATTGAGTGGAATGGCTGTTTTTAAAACTGATAAAAACCTTTTTGTTTTGTGAGAATGGCAATGTGGTAACCTGCTGAACTCTTCCCTTCTCAGTAAGAAAACCTACTGGCCATGTGTCCTTGGTTTGTGTGATCCAGTATAAGGTGGTGCCATCACATTGCAGGGAAGTTCCTAAGGCTAATATATTTGGTTGTTAAAGGAAGTGATTTTTAGTTACTCTGCCTAGAAGTGACTTTTGATCCTTCCATAAAAATAAATAATTAACTTAAATACTATGAGAAAAATAAATATGTGTGTGTTCTGCAATTGAGGCCCTACTGCGAAGTGTTTGCATCACACATTTGTTTTCAGTAGATCTAGAGCAGATGGATGGAGGTGAGTCAGTTTGGTCTGTTTTGTAGTCCGGAGAAACAGCAAATGCTTGAGGGCAAAAATGGGACTTGCTTGGAATAATAAGGATGTTATGAGATGTCTTTAACCCATTTGTATCTTTTGTATATGTTCTGAGCTGTTGAGAGAGGAGACAGTCAAATCAGTCCTTGGTGTAATTTTGATTATTGTCTGCTTACAGTATGCATTGATTGGTTTGTTTGTTTGGGTTTTTCTACTGTTTTGTCAACTGGTAGTCTTCAGAAGTTCTACTGGTATGCTGGCTGCAGCTCTTAGTCTCTTTTTCTACATCAGCAGAAACATTTGTGTATTCTGTTCTTAAATTACAGCTTTAAAGCTGGACACAGCCATTGTTTTGCCAGTGTGTTTTTTGGCACGTTCAAACACTGATACAGCAAGGCTCAGGTGTAAGTTCTGTGTACACAGTTACAGCTGCTGCTGTGATTCCAGCACGAGCTACATCCAAATTGCTTCCTTTCCTACACTTAGATTCAATTTAATCTTTCTTACAACCTGCAATTTTAAAATTAACTTGTTTTTGAAGTTTCTGTAAGGGTACCAGCATTAAATCCAATTTTTAACTGGATCTAGAAACACTGTAGTTTTACATATGGTTCCACTTGACAGCCAGGAAAATTGCTTGCAGTGTGTGTATCTTGGAAAAATCCATCAATTAGTTTTTACACCCGCTCTGGAAACTCTTCCACTTGTTGCTTTGTGACTTGTCTCTGATTAGGCATTTTTGTCTCTTCCACTTGTTGCTTTGTGATTTGTCTCTGCTTAGGATTTATTTTGGTGTTCTTGTTTTCCATGCTGCATTGGGGTGTATTTTTTAAATCTTGGGGTCTTGGACTCCTGGGTGCTGTCTGCAGAATGTGCATGGTGAGCCACATGTGCAAATACTGTCTCACTCAGGCCTGAATTATAATTATTTTTTAAATCTTGGGGTCTTGGACTCCTGGGTGCTGTCTGCAGAATGTGCATGGTGAGCCACATGTGCACATCTCACTCAGGCCTGAATTATAACTTTGGGTGACCAAAACTACTTGTCAGGCTTAGGAAATTCATACGGGTCTGTTCCCATATCTGGGGTGTTACAGGCTTGTCATACCTCTTGCCTTTGCTTTGCTTTTCGCCTAGATGAGAAGTTGGTGGCCTGTGGGAAGAGGAAGAATGGTGTAATCAGGGGTGAGAGGGATGGTCTGACCACAGAGGAAGACCTTGAACAATGCAGTGAGGCAGGGGCAGGGGTGGGAGCCTGCGCTGAGTGGGCAGGACCCTGTCCGGACAATCGGCTTTGTGCAGCCATGCAGGGCAGTAGGAAATTAGTCACTGTGACTCACAGTGGGGGACAGGTCCTGCTCTGGGGCTGTCAGTGGGGCTCACAGTGTCTGTATTAGCACCATGAGCAGTGCTGTCAGTGAGGCGTGAGGGAGGGATGCTGTTGTGCCAGGAAAGCCCAGGCAGCCTGTAGACTAAAACAGGGAGCTTGAGGAAATGACAGGGCCAGGAGGCTGTCATGAGAGGAGCAGCTCCCAGTGGATCAGCAGCCTGTTTAACCTTGAGCCAGCCTGTGCCCAGGTGGCCAAGGCAGCCAGTGGCATCCTGGCCTGGATCAGCAATAATGTGGCCAGCAGCACCAGGGCAGGGATTGTCCCCTGTACTGGGCACTGGTGAGGCTACACGTCAAGTGCTGTGTCCAGTTGTGGGCCCCTCAGTTTAGGAAGGAAATTGAGGTGCTGGAGCAAGTCCAGAGAGGGGCAGCAAAGGTGGTGAGGTGTCTCGAGCACAGGTCCTGTGAGGAGCAGCTGAGGGAGCTGGGGGTGTGTAGCCTGGAGAAAAGAAGGCTCAACAGTGATCTTACCACCCCACAACTGCCTGAAGAGAGCTTGTAGCCAGGTGGGGATAGGTCTCTTCTTCCAGGCAATCAGCAAGAGAACAAAAGCTTAAGCTGCACCACAGGAGAGGTTCAGGTTGGACATTAGGAAAAATATTTTCAAAGGGGGGCTGATGAGATGTTGGAATGGGCTGTCCAGGGAGGTGATGGAGTCCCTGGAGGTGCTTAAGGAAAGGCTGGACATGGTTGGTCTGGTTGGCATGGTGGTGTTCAGTTGTAGGGTGGGCTTGATGATCTCAGAGGTCTTTTTCAGCCTGATGGATTCTGTGATTCTGTTTGCTCAACTGGTTTCAGGGCAGATGTCAAAGAAAGGTGCAGTACATGGAGTA